GAGAATATTAATCTTTAATGTTTGAAGTTGTGATGATTTAATTCCATGAACTTCATTTATTTCTTGATTTAGCCCATCTAGATGTTAAAATTTATTGTGAGAACATGCAAGAACCGGACTGGTATTGTCTCAGTCAACAATTGGAAAGAATCACATTAGGTTGTATAAATGAGAATGTAATTCATATAATTTAGTGCGAACAAATAGAGAAATAATCTTTGAAGGGTATAGAGTTAGAGGACTTTAGAGTGATAGGCTAAAGCCCCCAACTTGGTTTATTGATTTAGGTTCTGATACATTATGTTAGCCCCCGGGTGGAGGGAATCGAGGGAACTCTAGAGTGAAAGCTGGTATCTTCCCTGCCTAGCTGTCTTCAGAACTATTCAAACTTTAAATTAACCAATGTCCTTTATAACATCTCTAGTAAGAGTAAGGAATAATATTGCTCCTATTTGACATAACACATTTTGCATACTTCCACAACATAATTCATATACTTATTACTTATTCATGATAAGGAGAAATATATTTCATATTCAATGCTTTTCTTTTACATAAACTGAAGTTATCTTTAGAAGTTTTTATTGTTTTGTCAAAATATAAAAAATACAAAAAAAATTGAATTTTTACCTGTTGTGAAAATATCTATAGTTTAAGTAATTGTCTTTTTGAAATAGAAAGTTTGCTATTTAAAAGTGCATACTGTAAGCAATTCCTGTGGGTTCGATATTCGGGGATTAATAAAAAAGTCATATATTACTTGATAACGATACGTATACTTGTGTAGTATCTCAATTTATATTAAGTTAAAAAGTTAAATTCTTATTTTTTCCAGGATTAAATTTTTGCTATTGTTGCAAAGTAAGGAAAGATAAGTGAAAAATATAATCAAATACATTGTTATACTATTACATATAAACAGTTGGGATCAGTGATCCATACTATCCAATGTATGCGACCTTTTTAATATTGAATACTCGTGCATCCACGTGAGTTTTGTCAATCGCTCCAGTACGGTTCCTTCAGAGAAATAAAGTTGTGATAGTCATGCAAGACATATTGACGTTTGAATGAAATATGTTGAAAATAGTTACCTTAAAAAATGACATATACTGCAAGTCATTTGCAGTCTTTGTTGGAGTCATGTCGAATGTTGGATCCTCTGACTTAATAATATTTGCAGACAACAGACAAGAGCTTTCATACCCACTGGAAAATATCTGCTAATTGTCATTGATAATTGTTGTAATCCCTTAATTACTCATCTCATTGACTCATTATGTGATAAAATGTAGAGGGTTATTGTTAGCACTTCTTTCTTAATGTCATTCTTAAGGAGTCTTTGAGTTCAGATGACTGTGTAGTTCATCGAGCAAATCCATAAATATAGGTTTTTTCATACAAGCTATGTTATTGAATCTTTGTGAGGTGTTCTTGTGGTAGCTCCCAACCCATTTATCATCAATATAAGTCAATGTCATGCAAGGAATTTGATTAACGTATGAGTTGTAGTATTAGTACAACAAAACTATTGTTGCCACAATCTTTCTTCTTAGGCTCTCTTACAGTGAATCCATGCTAAAGAAGTGTTATGTTCAGGTAATAAGCGTGCGTCAAATAATATTAAAAAACATCTAAAAACTGAAGACGGAGTATAACGAGCATAAATAAAAATAGAGCAACATTAGATTGTTCGTGCTAGAAAGAAAAAAACATCCAAATCAAATAACACATTAACCAAACTGAAAAAAAAACTAAAGCCACTAAACAATAACTTCACAAAATCAATTATCTTTAAAAAAAGTTAATAGTCGACTCGAAGTTCGGGGAGGGGGGGCGGCAACTTCATGAATATTTGTCTGCGGGTAGGGTTCTCTAACAACTTCAAGGAGTTCAGATAGAAAAATTTATCTTACCTAATTTCAGGATATATCTCAAGAATTAGAAGAAAGTTATCTATAGAGGTGTAATGTGAAGTATCAACCTGAATTGTGCACGCTTCCACTAGTTTTGTTATTTGGCATTTGACGAAAGCGGCTCCTTTTTTTCATTTTCTCTACCCTAAGCCGCTTTGACCGGCATGTGGACTCCATATCCTTTTTGTTTAAGTTGGGACCTTCACCGGACCCACTTACATGCTCGATCACCATGTCCTCTAGTATGCTTCCAAACCCATGCTCATTTGGGCTGAACACATGAGTGCCCCTTGCAACAATCTCACTGAACATACCATCCAACTTCTCCTCAAGGTCAGGGTCAATGCCGCTAAATTTTAATTTTTTGGTTGCTAGCACCTCGTGCAAAATACAAACGAGCTTATTACTTACAACAACTTAGTAGGATAATAAATGGAAAAGCAAGTGATCATGAGATGTGTTATTACCTCTAATTTATCGGTCCACCTGTCCTCCGAAGCATCCATTGTCTATTTCACTGAATCCCAACTCAAGCACGTGGATCCTCAATTTAGTTCCTTTCATAATTTCCAATCATTCTTCAACTGATCTGATTTGTTCTTAAATCACAATCTGTCGTACTCACTTCCTGTCAGTTCCTTGAACTTCTTCATAATATTTTGTCACCCATCTTTGTTAAAATAGGTGGTGGGTCCTTAAGACACATGTTGCAAAATATGACTATGATTTTCCTATCCCACATGGTTAATGATCTAACTTATTTGGGTTTAATCATTGTGTTACAGGCAAAGAGAAGGCAAAACATTAATCTTTCACACTGCAATTAAAAACAAGGCACCCCCAAAACTGATCAACCGCTGACGAAGCACACCCAATAATAACCCAACACAACATAGAGCCACATACACACCAACAACCCCAACACAACTACCACCCAACCAAGCCCTACACAATACACAACCACTCACACACCCACAACCCCAACAGACATGACACACACCCACAACCCCAACACAACACATAACCACACACACACCCTAAACCCATCACAGCCACAAAACACACATAACACCACACAAACAACTTAACACAACACACATCTACACACACACCCTAAACCCAACCACATAACACACACCCTAAATCCAACACAACACATAACACACACCCACAACCCCAACACAACCACCACCCAACCAAGCCCCACACAACACACAACCACACACGCACACACAACCACAAAACACATAACACACACCCACCGCCCCAATACAACACACGACTACACACGCACCTTAAATCCAACACCACCACCACACAAAAAACCCAACACAACACATATCCACACACACACCCTAAACCCTACACAACACATAACACACACCCATAACCCCAACACAGCCAGCAACCAACCAAGCTCCACACAACGCACAACCACAGACACACACCCACAACCATAACACACATCGCACACGACCACAGTCACACACACACCCTAAACCCAACACAACCACCACACACATATAACACCACACAAACAACCCAATACAACACACATCCAAAGACACATCCTAAACCTAACCATATAACACATACCCTAAACCCAACACAACACATATCACACACCCATAGCCCCAACGCATCCAACACCTAACCAAGCCACACACAACACACAACCACACACACCCACAACCACAACACACATAACACACACCCACAACCCCAACACAACACACAACCGCACACACACCCTAAACTCAACACAACCACCACACACACATAGCACCACACAAACAACCCTACACAACACACATCCACACACACACCCTAAACCCAACCACATAACACACACCGTAAACCCAATGCAACACATAGCACATACACAACTCCAACATAGCCACCGCCAACCAAGTCCCACACAACACACAACCATACATACACCCTCAGCCATAACACACATATCACACACCCACAACCCCAACACAACACACAATCACACACCCACCCAAAACCCAACACAACCACCACCTAATCAAGCCCCACACAAACAACCAAATACAACACAAAACACCCAAGGCCAACCACACACAATCACACACACGTACAAAACCAAATACATCAGAATTATATGCTATACATGTAAATTTTAAGCCCACAACCAAATACAACCATCACATAAAGCCATACACAAACCCACAATCAAATAAAACCACCATATAGACGCCCACAAACCACACATTGCCACCACCCAATGCCAACATAACAAATATCAAACGCATCCCCAACACAACAACAACCCAACCAAGCCCCATACAACACACATTGCAAACCCACAACCCCAACACAACACACAACCAAACACACACCCTAAACCCAACACAACCACCACCCAACCAAGCCCCACGCAAACAACCCAACACAACACAGAGCACCCAAGGCCAACCACACAACTACGCACACACCCACATTCAAATACATCATAATTGCATGCTAGACATGAAAATATTAAGCCCCGATCAAATACAAACACCATGTATAACCACACACACACCCACATCTAAATACAACCGTCACATTGATGCCCACAAACCACATACAATCACTACCCAAGGCAACCATAACAACACAACAACACAAACAACCAATTGCAACGAAGAATCACACAAAGCCACAAGATACAACCTCAACTACAGTAATTCATTTTCAACCATTCTCCAAATTATCCAAAAATCTAAAAATCTCACAAAGAAAACCACTTCATTGGAAAACCACATAGAGATGAACATTCTATCAAAAAATCACCGCAAATTGTATATAGAAAAGCATTCCATCGAAATTACTTAGCACAGAGGAAAGGAGTGAAAGACACCGTTAATCGCCAGATACGAGCAACTGAGAGAGAGAGAGGAGAGCGAGGAGTTACTTAGGGCAGCAAAATAAGGGTCGAGCATGAAGACGGATCAACCAAAGGGCACAAAAAGTAATAAGCGAAGTTAAGTATGAGTGCCGGGGTCGATCCTGCAGCTGCTTTTAATAAAGAATATCAAATGACAGTTACGAAAAAAAAAAAAAAAACAACCAAAACTCACGAAATTAAATGCTCGTTCAACTTTTTTCAAAATCTTAAAAATATTAGAAACCGCCCCAAACGGGAGAAAAATATTACATCCAGGGCTATTTACGTTCGAAGTCCAATAATAAGGCGGCGATGGCCAGTGGAGGCGCGGTAATGTGCGAGGCGGAGCAGATGATGTCTGTAGCGGGTTAGGGCAAGAGATCGGCAGGACAGGTAATTGTAATCTTTGTTGCTAAATTAAGGAGATCAAAGAAGATCGAAGTTGACTTAACAGTTCATTCAACCAATCATAATAATCATAATCTTAACTCATCATTATGATGATATAAACAATACGAAGAATTAACTAATTGCCTGCATCAATTTCATAAATGAGTAATACACCGAAAGATTATCGTAATGTTGGCATTAATTTGTTGGATTCGCATTTCTTTCAAGCAGAACAGAAGTTAATGCGAATATTGTTTGAGAAATCAGTTATGCTATGAATGTCGAAAAAGAAATGCAAATCAGTATTCATTGCTTTTATAGTAGAAATATTTGTTGTTTCGGGAATAAATCATGTAGAACTGTTCTGTTTTTTCATGCAAAATTATGTTGGATGAAGCCTTGCATGCTAGATTATCATACAGTTCTACATTGAAAGTTCCTTGCGGTGGACTTGCATTATTATTTTAGTACACTTAGTCTTGATAGTTCTAGAGGAAATTATAGTTCACTCTTAATAGTTCCATGGGAAATTATAGTCACTCAAATATTTTCATAGATATAACAAGCCAAACTGCCTGAAAGTTTGAAATTGCTTTATTGCAGTAGAATTTTTTGCATTATTTCTCCACTTTCACTTGTTTGTTATAATGATTACATGGAGGCATGTTTTCTTACCCAAACTTACGGCTTGCATACCAGAAAACTAATGATGAACATAACAATGCCTTTTCAACCATGAGGTTCAATATCCTTTTATTATACTATTTATAAAGAGGAACAATACAAAATTTACAGTTAATGCAATATGTACAAGTGTTCTTCTTAGTTGTCTTGGTTGCTCTCATTCACAAATATTATTTTATTGTCAAATTAAGAATAGTTTATCGGCATCTCTTACAACATCCAGGTCTTCATCTTCTTTGCATCCAACAGTTATCAATGTCTCAATATTTTTGGGAAATTTACATACTCTATTGAAAATTTTTATTTATTTATAATATAACACCCAAATTTAGATATTTACACTTATAACTCATTGTTGTCATAAACCCATGCACGAAAATGTGTATTTCACTTTTTGATAGTATTTTTGATGTGATGTTAAAGATATGAGTGGTGTATGGATGTTAAAGATATGAGTGGTATGCATGTAAATATGAATGTTTAGGCGTTAGATATGTAAATACATAAGAATTGTGTGGTATGTACGTAAATGCCTCTTTTTTGTTAAAAATGTTATTCCAATTGTATTACAGGCAGTTATAATTTTTGGATGTTTTTTGTTTTCAAGTTCAATACCATACATTTTTCAGATATCCAAGTCCCTCAGATGTAAACTATATCTTTTGGATCCTTACAATAATTATGGAAAATCACGAAGTTTTTTGATGAGTCATTTTCATGGGTTGCACTTTTCAGCTGGACGATCATAGAGAATTTATTGAAATATTACAAACTCCATATGTTTACTTTTTTATTTTTCTGTGATTTTTATTCCCTTTTCTTCAATTTTATGTTTAGGAACGAGGTCAGGACAATGCTTATGAATGAGCTATAATGACCTGTCTGTCCTGTCTTGTGCCCATAAAACATTCCCTTTTACCTGAACAAAAAAGGTTATGTAGTCCTGGATTACTCTAGGAAATTCCAGGGAAATGATATCTGGATGGCTACATGGGAGTTTAAATTAGCATATTTTTAAAAAAAATATATTGAACATGTAAAATTTCCATGCTGGATTAAAAAAAAAAGTGGGATTAAATTATCTTTTTTTTATGACCCCTGGCTTAATGGCTCTTTACTTTATGATCTTTTTGGAGGATCTGTTACTGCTTGGTTTTATCGTACCCCTTATGCAAAGGCGTCAAATATGATTGCTGCTAATAGATGGAACCGACCTCTTTCTTCTAATGCATCTTCTATATCATCCAGCTTATGTTCAATACTCCCATTGTTGACATCCATTTGAACTGCTTTTGGTTTGGGAAAGTTCACTATTCACATACTTCTACTTACATGTTTCTGTATGACAATCGTTTCCTTATGAGCTGGAGTAAATTTGTCCGGTACAAAGGGGCTCCTTGAAATACTGTGCTTTTGGCTGGCCTTAAAACCAAAGACACTCTTATATGAAGAGGGATTGATGTAAGTTCCACTTGTATTTATTGTTACTCTCATATGGAATAACACTCACATTTTCTTTGAATGTCCTTTCTCTATCAGCATGCTTAAGCTTTTTATTCCTTATGGTAATACACCTCACATGGGATGTATTTTGATATTTGGTTATGGAGATTATTTTCAATGCAAAATTACTAAGTGTTTCTTTCCCTCAGCGGTTGACATCACCTCTTGCTATTTATAGCTTAAATGGAATAGGAGAATCTTCTCTAATGAGGCAACCAATACTTATGTTATCAAATAAAGAATTCATTTTGCTGCGAGTCTTAAAAGCAGGAAAGGGAAAGTCAAAGGTAATACACCTACTATTATTAGCAGTTTGCACTCTACCAGGGTGCAGCTTTTTGGGTACTGTTATGCAGATGGTTCTTGGTTCAGTTATTTTACGATTCATTTTTTTACACACATTGGCAGCTTTATTACCGGCACATATGCAGATGGTTATTTATTCAGCTTCCTTAAGTATCTATTGTTTTGCACACACTGGGATTAATTCTGTGGATATCTGTCGTTTTGCTCACACTAAGATGTAGCTTGTGGCACTATTTCATTCTATCTGCTCATCTCACCAGCCAATAGATTTTCTCTTGCCACTCCAATTACTCAACTGGTTTTCCTCCATCGGTTTTGTTGCTTTTATTTTGCATATGATAGTCCACTTGATTGGGATTTGCAGCAATTTTCGGTTTTATTTTGGAGCTATGATGAAGAATCATTCTCACAATCATGAGTTAACCAATTATCCGTTGCAGCTCTATATTCGGTTCTGTGATCTATTTTGTAGCCTTGATACTACTCTTGATCCTTCAGCCATCCTTTTCTTCATCATCTCTCTTGCAGGGTGTTCAGGTCTTTCTCTTCTCAGCTGAATTCATGTGCAGATAACTACATTCCACTGCTTACCTGATGGATCCCTGGCTATTTGCTGGTTGACTCTCTGTGCTTCTCTCGATCCTCAGACTTTTTGTGCCGATCTTTATTATGATACTCTCTGGATAACTCTAAATGCAGTTTGATATTTGAGTGATTGGGTTAGCGCACGAGATCGACAGGACAGGTACTTGTAATTTTTGTTGATAGACTAAGAAGATCAGAGAAGATCAAAGATGACTTACCTTTTCATTCAATTAATCATAATAATCATAATCTCGACTCATCATTATGATGATATGAAAATTACCAAGAATTAACTAATTGTCCCGCATCTATTTCATAAATGAATAATCCACACTTCTTTCAAGCGAAACAGAAGTTACTGCAAATATTGTTTAAGAAATCACTTATGCTATGAATTTCGAAAGCTAATTACAAATTAGTATTCATTGCTTTATAAGAAGAAATATTTGTTGTTTTGGGAATAAATCATGTAGAACGGCTCTATTTTTCATGCAAAACTATGTTAGATGAAGGTTCTGTTTGGGACAGCTCCAGATTATTGATAATCTGCTGATAAGCAGCTGATCCAGATAAGGTGACTGTCTGTTTGGTTTGTGCATTTGAAAACAACTGATTTGCAGCTGTTTATAGATAAACGACTATTCTGCCCCTGTGCAGTAATGCTGCTTACGACATAATTGTCATAGCTATAATAAATCTGCTAATATTTATTATTAATTTTTTAGATCAATATTTGTTGTAATAGTACAAATTTAATATTAATATTAATAAGTCATAAAGTATTTATATATATAAATTTTAAACTATTTTATAATTTAATAGTTTAGTAAAAGTATAAATACAAATATAGTATAATTATTATGTTTTATTTATACATTTAATACTAAATAGTTATTTAATAATAATATTATTAATAATATAATAACATTATTATTTAAATTTTATTGTATAGTAAATATCTGTTTAGTTAGTTTTAAATATTACATTATTAATATTATATATGTATTATTATAAATTATGTATTTTACACTATAAGTATATTTTAAATTTAATTTATTTTAAGATATAATTCAACAATATTTATAATATTATTTAGTTAACATTATTATTGTAAATTTTAGTTAAATGTATTTATTATACTAAATTAATACATAAACATGTTATATAATTTAGTTAATACTTATTAAATAATTTTCAAATAAATGTACAATAGTTTTAACTATATATCTATAACTATTAGCATATTATTTTGAAATACTTTATTTATAAATTATATTTAACTATGTATACTTTTAATTTTGTTTAAGTTAACATTGTAAATATAAAAACACATGAGTTCATTAATTCAAATTGATATAGTTTATAAATAATATATAACTATTTAATTAAAATTTATTAAATTAATGTTTATGAAATATATAGTAGTATAAACAATTATGTATAAAGTAAATTAAATTAATTTAAGTATTATAATTTTAACTTTATGTTTAACATTTATATATTTTAAATTAATTATAATATATGTATAATTTTAAAATTAATTGTTATTATATATAATTTAATACAATTTTAAATAAATTTAGTTATATATTAATGTATTAAAACTATATTATTAAATACTTGAATAGCATAAGGTTCAAATTGTTCCGCGTAACTCATTAATAACACCAAAAAATCATGCGAATAACACCTGAATACTATTGTAAATAACACCGCAAAACACCGCGAATCAACGACAAACAAAAGACACAAATAATACCGAGAATAACACCGCAGTAACACCTAAATACTACCATAAATAACACCGCTAAACACCGCGAATCAACGACTGGAAAAATGCGTGAATAATATCGAGAATAACACTACAATAACACATGAATATTACCGCAAATAAAACCGCAAAAATACCGCGAATCAATTGCTGGCAAAAGACGAAAATAATACTACTAATAACACGACAAATAACACCGGGAATAAACGACTGGCAAAAAGTGCGAATAACACCGTGAATAACACCGTCAATAACATCGTGAATAACACTGCGAATAACACAAGACGCGCGACCGTGGGGAGGGTAGAGCTGTGAATAATTTTCTCCTAACGTGGGACACGGTTTCGAACTCGCGGGCGGCGTTTAATACAAAAGGAAACCAAATTATTCCTCAACACAACGAAGACGGAGAAAACAAACACCAATGTCGGCATTTTGAAAACGCACCACAGCTGTTTCGCTGCGCCAAACGAGCCTGAAGCCTTGCATGCTAGACTATCAGACGTTATACATTGAAAGTTCTTTGCGGTGGACTTTCATTATTATTTTAGTACATTTACTCTTGATAGTTCATCAGGAAATTATACTTTACTCTTGATAGTTCCATGGGAAATTATAGTTATTTAAATATTTTCATAGGTATAATAAGTCTAACTGCCTGAAAGTTTGAAATTGCTTTATTGTAGTAGAATATTTTGCATTATTTCTCCACATTCACTCGTTTATTAAAATCATTACATGAAGGCATGTTTTCTTACCCAAACTTACTGCTTGCATACTGGAAAACTAATGATGGACATAACAATGCTTTTTCAACCATGAGGATCTCTCTCCTTTTATTATACTATTTATAAAAAGGAACAATACAAAATTTACAGTTACATTTAATGCAATTTGTACAAGTGTTCTTGCTAGCTGTCTTGGTTGCTCTCGTTCACAAATCTTGTTTTATTGTCAAATTAAGAATAGTTTATCGGCATCTCTTACAACATCTAGGTCTTCAACTTCTGCACCATCAATGGTTAAAACCTTTGCCGCCACTCTCCCAAATTTCTTCTCTGCATACAACAATTATCAACATTTCAATATTTTGGTGTGAAATTTACATACATATCAAAAAATTCTTATACATATATATATGTATATATGTATATATATGGCACCCAAAGTTAGATATTTACACTTTTTAACACCTTGTTGTCATAAACTTATGCATTAAAATGTACATTTCACTTTTAAAAAGATAATGATGATAGTATTTCTGATGTGTTGTTAAAGATTTTAGTGGTATTCATGTAAAGATGAATGTTTAGGTGTTAGATATGTACATACATAAGAATTGTGTGGTATGTACGTAAATGCCTCTTTTTTATTAAAGATATTATACCAATTGTATTGAAGGCAGTTATAATTTTTGGATGTTTTTTTTTTTACATTTTTCAGATAACCAAGTCACTGAGATGTAAGCTATATCTTTTGGATCCTCCCAATAATTATGGAAAATTATGAAGTTCATTTTCATGGGTTGCATCTTTCAGCTGGACAATCATCAAAGAATTTATTAAAATATTGCAATCTCCATATGTTTTCTTTCTTCTTTTTCTTATGTTTTGTGTTTAGGAACGAGGGGCGCAGGTAATGCTTATGAAGTGGGATTGATGTGAATCCCACATGTATTCTTTGCAACTCTCGTATGGAATCACACTCACATTTCCTTTGATTGTGCTTCTCTATCAGCACGCTTAAGCTTATTATTCCTCACTGTAATAAACCTGATCTATATATTTGGTTATGGAGATCATTTTCAATGCAAAATAATTGAATGTTTTTTCCCCTTAGCAGTTCGCATCACCTCTTACTATTTGTGGCTTGAAAGGAATAGGTGAATCTTCTCCAACGAGCCATCCAAAACTGATGTTATCAAAGAAAAAAATCATTTTGTAGCGACTTTTAAAAGCAGGAAATGGAATGTCAAAGGTAGTATACCTCCTATTATTATCAGTTTATACCCTAATAGGGTACTGTAATGTTGATGGTTATTGGTTCAGTTATTTTGAGGTTCTGTTTTTTAAACACATTGGGAGCTTTTATTACTGGTAAATATGCGGGTGGTTCTTGGTTCAGTTTCTTTAAGGATCTATTGTTTTGCACACACTGGGATTAATTCTGAGGATATCTGCTGTTTTGCTCACACTAAGATGTGGCTTGTGGCACTTTTTCATTCTATCTGCTCATTTCACCGGCCTATAGATTTTCACTTGCCACTCCAGTTGATCACTGGTTTTCTTCCATCGGTTTTGCTGCTTTTATTTTGCATAAGATACTCCACTTGATTGTGGTTTCCAGCAATTTTTTGTTTTATTTTGGAGCTATGATGAAGAATCCTTCTCACAATCATGAGTTCACTAGCTATCCGTTGCAGCTTTATAATCAGTTCTGTGATCAATTTTGTAGCCTTGGTACTACACTTGATCCTTCTTCAGCCATCCTTTTCTTCATATCTCTTGCTGGATGTTCAGTTCTTTCTCTTCTGAGCTTAATTCATGGGAACAGACAACTACATTCCACTAGTTTGGCTTACCTGACTGTTTTGTGGTTGATTCTTAGCTCTTCTCTCGATCCTAGGACGTTTTTGTGCCGATCTTTCCTATGGTACTCTCTGGTTAACTCTAGACGGAATTTGATGCCCCTTGAAATTTACACTTTTATACCTTCTTTTATTGTTTTCTTCATGTCTTATTTTTACATTTTATGTTTCTTTCTTCTAGCATGATATTTTTGTCATCTATAGTGCAATCCTCCAGTCATTAATGCAAAGCTGGGCATTTGCAAAAAAAGGTGATGTTTAGAAAGTGCAAGATGAAAAGTGGAATTAATGCTGGGCAGCACTACCCAAGGGCAGTTAAACCTTTAATTTCAGATTTGTTCAGCTGCAACTCTTTTTAGCAGTCCTTTGTCTGTTGTATATTTTGCATACTATGTATATAGATAATATAAAGCCATTTGAATGCTATTGCATTGAAAAACCAGACAGCATTTGTATGCTGTTCGGCAGCTGCACTGCTCTTTTTGGCAATCTGAACATTTAAGATTCATTTCTGATAGAGTTATAGCGCTTGAATCTCAAGATTCATTGTTTAATGTTTGTATAATTTGAGACCAGTGGAAGGTTGGAGTTGAGCTTGATCTTAAAAGGAATAAAAACCAAAAAAACAATATGTAACTTTGCATCTTCCATCTGTTTATTTCTTTTATTGTTTTCAATTCAAAATTTTTTATTGCTTGATCTTTTTATTTCTGAATTAACTAGCTAACCTGAAAGTGTTCTTGCAATAATTTTTACCAGGTACTATCTTAATGAACTTACATTCTAAAACTGATTATATACACATTTCTTCAAAAGAATTTTAGTGAAGATAAGAAGCATGTAATACCTGCCAATTTTAGAAGTTCTTCAATAGAATCAGGTAGGTATATAAGTTTGCCAAGCTCGTTGCCTTCCATTTTATCAATTTTATCCGGATGATATCCATGGATTACTACTCTTTTAGG